CATCATAATACAAGAAGTTATTGCTTCTTATCTTTCTTAACTGACTTCTGTTTCTTGTAGCAACTTCTGCTTTTGACTGAAAAAGGAAGTTGCCTCATTTTTGTCTGTTAATGCTGCACTTTGTGTTACATATACACTCACTGGAAAATGTATTAGATACACATTGCTAGTACCAGGTTGAACCACCTTTTACCTTTTTTGGAGTAGATTCAACAAAGTGCTGCAAACATTTTTTCTGAGATTTTGGTCCACATCACACAGTTACCACATAAGAGCCAGGCGTTAATAAATAAATAAGGTTTGTACACTGTTAGGGGACTTTGGCTTCTTTGTCAGAAGATGTTACCTGCTTAAACATGTATGTGTCACCTATTCATAAAATAATATATATCCTTGTGGCTTTTAATAGCTTAAATATGCTTCAGAAATATTTCTGCTCATGTTAAAAAATCTTCTGCACATTCAAAACATGTCACACAGGTCTCTGTTTGGGAATCAAGCACATGTCATCAATGCTACAGAGTATGACTGAAAACAAGAAGCCCAGGCAACATCTTAAGATTACATCACAAACGGCCCGGAGGCCAACACGAGGAAAGTACCCAGATGCAGACACAACATAGTCAGTATTTATAACACAGATCTTGACTGCTTACATGCAGTGAAGCCGATTTCCAGCTTGGGCAGGGGATTGTAGACTGAGCAGCTGAGTATTTGACCAACCTGAGGTTTAGCGTTTCCAGCGAGGCAGCGGGCTGGAGGACAGGCGGTAGAGGTGAAGAGAATCCAAGTTTAGATGGCAAGGTTCAGTGGTGGGCGAGATTTCTGGCTGGGAGCTTACGGTGTAACTGATGAGTCAAAAACTGAGAACACAAGGAGAAGCAGGTAAGGCAAAACATCGACCCGAAAGGAAACACAGAGAGATGCAACTTGTTACCACCATTGGCAGCTGTTGGACTGGCAAAGGAGAGGTGACGACACTGGTTTTAAATGCAACCTCTTAATTGCAGCTGATGCACCACAGGCGAAGGAGATTACCTGAGCTACACCTCAGGGCGGACCCAGGGGAACAATATGTGAGGAGACAAACCCAACACTCGCTCAGATCATGACAGATTAGATGGAAATCAAGCAAAAGCACATCTAAACTAAAATATACTAAAATAAATCAATAAAACAACATGATTTTCAGACCTTTTTAGTAAAATTTCTATTGTTGCCGGTATTCTTTACAAAGTATTTCACAGAATTGTCTATGAAGGTTCTCAGACATCCAGGTCATGGATGATTGTCAGCCTTCACATTTCTTACAGCAGCTTAAATAAAGTTGTTGTTTGCTTAATTAAGACTTTTGTCAAAAAGATAAAGGTTAATGACAAGGTTACATTCCATTAAATATTAGAGATCAACACTAAAAATCTACATTCATAACAATAACTATCACCCAACATAAAAATATCAGAATAGAGATACAGCACTTCAGACAATAATTCTTAATCCAATTCCAGAAAGAATTACGAACAACCTTTATTTGGTTTAACAAACATTTTTCCTGCCCTTATCAGCTTGAAGAAAAATAAATACAAAAGTAAATCTATGTTAGGTCTTTACTAAGATATCTGCTGATCAAACAGAAGGTGCTACCAACCTAATACCACCCAAACAGCTCTTTGGTGATTGACCCTGGATCTGTGATAGTGTTTGTTTTAATCCAGGATATTTGGAGCTAATAAACTGAGCCCTGTGTGCTACTGAATGGGACCTTAAATTGGACATGAAACACTACCTGTATAAGCCCAAATTTACACCATGGAGCCCTGCTCTCAAAAACTGAATTGATGTAACACCATCTGTGGATCTGGATTTAAGAAGCAGTTTTTAGAGCATGTTCAGCACCATCTTGTGTCAGTACAGAGCGCCACACCATCAGGTTGGTTGGTTGAAGTCACTTTCACCCTCTGTCTCTTAAGCAGTAAGTGGTTCTTTGTTTTGTTAGCTGCACTGAAATGGGACAATCAAAGCATGATAGGGAATCCTGACATCTTCCAACATGTCTGAAGGGAGAAATAAAAGTCCACATTATACTGGATTTTCCCATTTCAATACAGCTAGCCAAACAATGAAGAACCATTTGTTGCTTAAGGGTGAAAGTGGACAGTATATCCTCGGTTTATTAACATAAAACTTATTTCTGCAAAGAGACAGTACAAAAGTGTGTAATGTAAGTCTGTTTATTGCAACCAACCAACCTGACACAAGATGGTGCTAAATATGTTCTAAAAACTTTAACTATAGGCACTTACTTCTTAAATCCAGCTTCACAGACAGTGTTACATCTATGCCAGTTTTTGAGAGCAGGACTCCATGTTGTAAATTAGGCTTTATG